AAGGTACTCAACCATTTTTAACTTGCCTCCCTCCATGCAAAACAGGAAAATGCAATTTTCATTGTTAAAGATTACAAAAAATTATTGAGGAACAGAGTCTAGTGGTGACCTCAGCACAGTGTACATAAGCAAAGAGGGTTAACTTAGATTTGGTGGTGATATTTGCTAACCCAGACAGATTAAACCAGAAAAGCAGTATGTCTCACCTCTTCTCCAAAGACATACGCCCCACCTGGATTTATTTTGCTTTATGTTCCTTTCAGGTCTCCACTAAAAACACACACACACCCCAAAAACAAAAAGCTCCACCTCTGTGCTATAATTTTCACTTTCCAAGTTTCGATATCCCTCTCTTCTAGTGAACCCCCAAAGAAGTGTCATCATGAAGAACAGAAGCAGAAAGGGAAAGACTCATAGCTCAAGACAGATTGTGGTCAAATAAGGAAGCACATTTTGACCGCCACTCTGATTCAACCATGGAACAGACTCAAAAGGAATTCTTGGTAAGATGTCAAGCAGAGAGAACTCAAGCCTGGGGAGACACTGCATGACTTCATCCAGGGACAATGAACACTCAAGTGAACAACACCTTGTACAAAACACTCCCTCAATCATAGGCCATCAGTTCCTGATGCTGCAACACCAAACATTGGGAAAAGACAGAAGAAATGAGGGTCATGGTCATCATCCAAAACAAAAGGAAGAAAGGAATTGTTCTTCATTACAGCTTCACTGCGCACAAAAACAAAGCACAGGCAGCTTCAAGGTAATATCAACAAAAACCAAGTTTCAGTTTAACAATATCCTGCTATCAAAACGGAGGCAAAATACAACATCCACTATTAGCTGTTTTGATTACAAAGAAACAAGATACCATGGATGTGAAAATGATTTGAGCTCTGAAACTTGAAAGGCTGAGTTTGAATCCCAGTTCCTTTACTTAGGAGCTGTGTGGTCTTGGGCAAGCTTTTTAACATTTCAGAACCCCTATAGGTATCACAAAGAAAATTAGGATAGGAAATCAGTAACTGTACCCATACTCCATAAGGTTGTTATCTGCAAATAGTGACTTCTAAGGGCACATGATTAATGCTACATAAGACGTAATACTCAAAAACAGCTTCCATACAACCCGACACAGGCATCATAAATCTCAGAGTTTTTGCCTTTTTTCTTAAAGATTATGTATCGTCCTTAAAAGTCAGAATTACAGAGACAGAGTTCTTCCACCTACTGGTTCACTCTCCAAATGGCCACTATCATCAGAACTGAGCTGGTCAGAAACAGAGCCATGAGCTTCTTCTAGATCTCCCATATGTCTTCTTACTTACGTGGGAGACCTGGGCTGAGTTCCTAGCTGCTAACTTCAATTTGTCCCAGGCCTGGTTAATACAGGCATTTGGAGACTGAACCAACAAATGGATACCACTCTGCCAATCTCTCTCTCGCTCTTTCTGTCCATCTTTCCTTCCCGCCATCTTTTTCCATATGCTTCCTTCTTAAACACACACACACACATATGTATATATGTATGTATGTATAAATATATGTATATAATGCATACATATGCATATATATGCACATTTTTATTCCAGGTTATTTCTGACTAAGTGAAAAATGAAACTAAAAATGTTCTAAAGTTAATCAAGCTATAATCATTCCCAGAAAGACAGACAAAACATTTTATCTGTCGCATAAGTTGCATATGTTTATTTTCCAAGCTATTGTACCTTAATGAGAAGGTACAAGTGTGATGGAGGTGTAGCTAGGTTTGGCTCCCATGTAGCTAAAAAACAGACAACCATTACAATAAATCATGATTCTCTTTGAAGACCCAGAAACATGGTTCTGTCATCACATCCACTCATTCAACAGCTTTTACTGCTTCTACTTTGTGCCCAAGAACACCAATAGACAATGCAGAGGAAACATAACAAAAAGGCAGTGTCTATCTCCACAAAGCTGACCATCTGGCAAAGAAATATGCTAGCAAAAATCAAATGGAATGGATACAAAAATGTGCTCAACAGATTGATTTGACACAAGAAGAGATTTGAATAGATCAAAATTACCATTCCTACAAAACTAACCCATCTCTCTCATGATTACATATGGATGGGCACTAGGGGGAATGAGTTACATGAAAGGCATTAGGTCTTGCCTTGACAAACAACTGGCTGCATAAGATTGCAAATTCTAGGGTAGGTACCACAGTGTACCAGGCTAAGCTTCCCCTGCATCTTCATTGGGCATCAGTTTGTGTCCCAGCTGTTCCACTTCCAATCTAGCTCCCTGCTCATGGTGTGGGAAGGCAACAAAAAATGGCTTAAGTCCTAGGGTCCCTCCTTGCACCCATGTGAGAGACCTGGAGAAGATTCCTGATTCCTGGCTTCAGATTGTTTCAGGCTCTACCTGTTGTGCCTTTTTAGGGAGTGAACCAGTAAATGGAGGATCTCTCTCCCTGTCTTCCTATTTATCTTTATCTCTTTCAAATAATTTTTTTAAATACACTTGTGTAAGCTTTCTATATCCCTACACACATTCTGCTCATTGTTGTTGCATTTGTCTAAAAGGATACAATCCATTTCATGAATTCCTGCTTCCTACTTAAAATAACTACACACCAACCTTGCCTTACCAAACACCTTTACTATTTCTCTGACTGTACTTTCCCATGTTCTGAAATTTCCTCCATCTCATTTACAGAAATAATGCAATTTATTGCATGAGTAGAGCCTACCAGTGCAAACCTCAGAAAGCCACATTTTTTTCTGGCATTTTCCAATTACAGGTTTATGGAAATGGGATTGCAGAAGGCACATTCAAGGCAGAAACACATAGCATAGCACTATAAGCCCTTCAAATAATTATTTCAACCTGTACAATAAGAAAATGAAGAAAAAAATTATGTTACTTGAATCATTCGGTATATTTTGCACTGGAGTGTAGTAAATATTATACAAAGGTCAAAATCAAGGCAAGAGCGTGGCAGGTTCATAGCGCACAGTAGTCTATTACTACCGGTGGCTCCATGACCTGTGCATCACACCAGATATCTTAATAGAAAAAAGTAGATACATGTGAAAAATATTAACCAACAGATACCAGCAAATAAATATTTGGGTCAATGCAAAGAATTGTAAAATGTCTCATTTTTCATTTCTTACAAAAATGGCACCCATAGCAAAAGATGTATTCCATTCTCATCATGTAGAATTGTCCTTAGGAAACAGGCATGCTTAAGGTCTTTGTTGATACTTAGGCATATCGGGAAGTCATCTCTTTACCTCTACTAAATTACGATGAATGAAATAACACAATTTCATATCTGAGGCAATAGTGAAACCAGTGAGAATCTTGTGCAAGTGTTGTAGTTAAGCAGGGATATAGTTATGCCAGCAAATCCAGGACCTACTTCTCCTTCTTACAAGTCTAGGAGAAGGCTGCAATTAATATATCCTCAAATGATCTCTGCGACACATTAAATATATTCTGTGACACATTGAATCTATTCTAAAATATACAAGACTGGTGCCCCAATTTGAATGCAATTTATTTAATGATAATTAAAGCTCTGTTTCCTACCAGTGACTTAAATTAACGTCACTTCTTAGTTTCAAAGGAGCCACCACAATCCCAGGTTACATTCACCCAATATTGCCTTAGCAAAGTATTACAAAGAGAATTGTAGGAACTTTCCAGTGAATTTCTGTGGGACAGATGAAAGAATTTTTTAAGATTTAAAAAAATGTGATCAAATGCTAAACTGAATATAGTCTATGGAGATTAGATATTTCAACTGAGTAATTGTCTAGGCAAATTTTCATTCATTAAACCTTTACACAGATACTCTCATCTCTATAGGAAATGTTCTGTATTTATGTATTTTCAGAGGCCACCACAGGGACTAGAATTTAACAGATGCTCCATAACCATCTTCCAAGCGCACAGTTGAAACAAACATATTCCTTTGTATCCGCACCATAAATTTTTCCAGGCTGGGAAAAATACTTACTTAAAGGCAAAAGTAATGAATCAATGAAAAGACTCAAATCGGCTCTCCACTTTAAAATATAAGTCAATAACCATAACTACAGAGAGAAAATAATGAAAAAACTTTTCATGATTATCATCATTCATTCTAATCTGTTTAGTTCCATAAATCTACATAAGCTTTTGATATACTTGCCTATAACATAATCACAAATACACAGTGAGAAAAATTACTTACTTAGAAGTAAGTTAACAAAAATATCTACATGTGGAGGCCAGCATTGTGGCACAACAGGTAAAGCCACCACTTAGACACCATTATGGGGGCTAATTCATGCCTTGGCCACTTGACTTTCAATCCGGCTTCCTATTAATACTGGGAAAGCAGTGTAAGATGATCCAAGTATTTGGGCCCCAGAACCCACATGTGAGACCCAGATGAAGTTCCTGGGTCCTAGCTTTAGCCATACCTATTTCTATCCATCGTGGTATTGTGAAAAGATGGGACATCTGGCCAAATGTAAGATTCTGTCTCTTCCCCACCTCCTCATCTCCCACCACCCATCCTCTTTAACTCTCATCTCCCACCACCCATCCTCTTTAACTCTGGTTTTCAAATAAATAACTCTTTTAAAAATAACTACATGAAAACATTCTTATTGCATAAAACCACTGAGAATCTGCTCATTCCACGTAACAGACTATAAGGAAACCTTTCAAAGACTGAATGAATTGGATTGGTTTTTCAGATATTCAATACCTGACAGCTGAACTTTTCAAGAACATCTTCCTTGTCATCATCATTTATACTGTACCAACCACAGAGGCCCATTGTTCCCTAAAGCTAATCCTGTAACCAGAGAAAAACTGATAGGATGACTTTGTTGCAGGGATTTCACGAAAAAGCACCTCCCCTCCGGTGAATATTCATACTGCTGTTTACAACTACCACCAACAAACACATTGATACCGGGAACCCATAAAGTAGGAGTCACAACAGAACTTACCAAGTACAATGACCACCGTCTTCAGCAGACTCATCATGGTGTCCCGATTTCTCCGGGGTCCAGAACTATGTCGGGACATCCTCATAGTCCTCTGACGAACATAGCCGAAGATGTGAGCATAGAGAACCACCATTACCACAAAGGTCACCAAGTTGAAAATGGCCCAGAAGACCAAGTAAGAGTCACTGTATAGGGGTGCCATGTTGGAGCAATTCTCAATATCACAGATACAGTTCCAGCCCACACTAGGTATAGCACCCATAACAATGGCCATAGTCCAGATCACCACAATTACTACAACCACTCGCCGGTTGCTCATCCGTGTGTGGAGCTGCATGCGAAAAACTGTGATGTGCCTCTCGATGGCGATAGCCAGTAAGTTGGCCACAGATGCTGTCAGGCTAGTGTCAATGAGGCCTTGGCGGAGGAGCCACGTGCTAACAGTCAGTCTCCGGGTATTGGGTCCTGTGTTGAACATTAAGTAGAAGTAGGCCAACCCAGCAAAGAAGTCTGCAGCAGCCAGATTAGCCATTAGGTAATAAATAGGAAAATGGAAGCGGCGGTTGACATAGATTGCTACCATGACCAGCAGGTTGGCCAACATGATGAAGATACAGACCGTAATCCCAAGTCCCATCACTAGTTTGCTGACTGTATTCCATTCTGTGGCAAGATACTTTCCACTCCGGTTATAAAAGAAGGCGATGGACTCATTGTAGAAGCACTGTGGCTCATTCATGGCTGTGAACTAAAAGGGAAGACACATAAAAAGATAGAAAAAAGAAAACATTGTACCATTGTACCCAAACTCAAACACACACACACATATGTGTGTCATATATATGTCATATATCATACATGACATTATACATACATTATATACACATTATATATGACATTATTATATGTATATATATGACATTAATGGTAATATGCAGCAGAAACACAAAAGAATTTGAAAATCGACCTTGTAGAATGCTCTGTATTTTCAAACTCCAGGGTTTCTCACACTATTACTGTCCTTAAGATTAAAGACAGTTGGAGTTAAACAAATGACAAGGTCCCTTCTCGGTGGTTGCATGTCATTGACGTCTACTAGAAAAGCCACATGACCCAAAAATCTTGCTTAAAATACACAAGACAGACAAGAATTGTGCAGAACACTGCAATTGAAATATCCACCATAGTGAAATCCACTTTGTCCTATTATTTAGGGAATGTGTAAACACAGTTGGCTTATAGATAGGGTATCATCACCCTATTATTTTATACTTCCATTCTCACACAGTAAGTTCTATCTGTGACAGTCATTTTATAATACAGGTTCCCACAAAATGCAACAGCATTTCAAAGAGGTCATTGAAGAGCCGTTGGCCAGAGCCAGCATCTGCTCCTCTACATTCCTGTGGTCAGCACAGCCTAACCCCATGACTCCCTATCCCCAGAGCAGCATTCATCAATCAATCTATCACATTTCAGGACTTTGCTTTTTTTGGGAGAACATAAGATAATGTCCAAAGAGCACTTGATTCTTTGATATTGCTATATAAGAAATAAAATATACTTACTGTATAAGTAATATGATAAGTAAAAGTACTTATTTTGCAACATCATCAATTAGAAAATATTTGCCTATTACTTACACTTTTCTTTGAGCCTTTTAGGCTAGAGGCAGTTTAACATATAATGCTATAAGTAGTAAACAGAACAACTAAAACAAAATTAGAAAATAAAATGTTACATGGGAGAAAGTAGAAAATTAAATATCACATAGAAGAAATTCTTCAAACTGAATCCTCAGGTTTGTCTGAGATTTCTAGAACTAAATTCTTTTTAAGGACAGATCACATTTTTTTTTCTTTTTGTTTTGCTTGTTTCTGATAGACTGCCTGGCAAATATGACAGCTTTGACGCCATTTTTGATGTGATATTCTGCCTAATATAGATTTACATAAATGTTTAAAAATCACTGAAAATCCTAAGAGCAGAATAAAACACATAAGTGATTTAGCCTTCTGACCTGGCCAATCACTAAAGTCTCTTTCCTTTCCTCTAGATTCCAACAGATTCTACAGCAGAGTTCTAAAATGACATCTAATAGGTTGTATATGTCTCTATTGTGCTGTAGAGACAGAGTGAGGATCTGGTCTTAGAAATGCTGGCATTTTATGCATCTTTCTGAATGCTTTTTATTCACAGTGATCAGAAAACTTGACTCACAGTGCTCTGTTCCAACCCCAATCTCGCCATCACTGTGAGTAATTCACCGAATTTTCTTGCCCTTCATTTTCTTGACATCATCTCTAATGACCTTTTATTCCATTACAACTCATTTACCCACACCCAGTGGTCACATTTTGGACATTGTAACCACCCAGAATCATCTATGTTTGGGAATGAGACATTATAACGACTCATTAAAACATGCCACTGAGCAAATTTTTCTCATTTGACTCCCCCACACCAAACTTCAGGGTTTGTTTGTGTATCAATGTCCTTGACACTTTTCTGCAACAGATTATCCGTCCCATCTTCCCTCCCCCCCATCCACCTTAAACTCCATAGTGTATCATTCCAGCCTGTTAGTTGCTAGCTGAAGGAACACACTTATTCAGGACATCTGGGTTCAGATGTTCTTTTAAACCTTTCTGTTTTAAGAACAGTTACACACTGCATATTCCAAATGTCACTCACTCCCCAGCAGACTATGGGACAATGCTGTCTAATCACACATATTAATTTGTAAAGCAAAACACACAGGCATAGAGAATAAATTTGATAAGTGGAGACTACAATCTCACAAAAATTCAATTTTGCCACCAAATGAGTAAAGAAAAACCTTCGATTTTTAGTTTCTTGAATTTTGAAGCGTAGATAAAAGATGTGAATCCTTTCTCTTTTTTTCACTTGTTTTCCCCTCTTTATTTCCAAAACAATGTAAATAATAATAATTATGGATAAATCCTATTTACTGGTACTTCAACATGCACACTAATCCTTCTGATACATGTAAGCAAAGTCAACATATCTGCAGGTGATCGCGATAATTTAACGTCTATCTCAAAATAGCACTTAAACATCTCTTTTGCCCCTCTTTATTACCCTACATAGTCTACGCAGCTAGTGTTTTTTTTTTAAAGATTTATTTTTATTGGAAAGGCAGAAATACAGAGGAGACAAAGAGGAAGATCTGAAGCCAGGAGCCAGGAGCTTCTTCAGGGTCTTCTGCGAGGGTGCAGGGTCCCAAAGCCTTGGTCCATCCTCAACTGCTTTCCCAGGCCACAAGCAGGGAGCTGGATAGGAAGTGGAGCTGCCGGGATTAGAACTGGTGCTCACACCAGTGAGGACCTTAACTGCTATGCTATCCTGTCAGGCCCTGTAGCTAGTATTTTAAACTTGTGCACCAGTCCAAGTTTTGAGTCCTGTCTTCCCTCTCTGCCATCAGCAGTTGCCAAAGAAAAACAGAAGTCTTCAAATTGGAACTCTCTCACTTTTTCAGTATCATTTCTTCAGGACCATTCTTTCCTCCTGTTACAGCAGACATGCCTGCCCTTTTTGAATCCCATCCCTCCCTACTATTCGAGAACCTTATTCTATCAATTGCTTCACTGCTCTTCCCTTTGGAGATCATTTCTTTCCCTGTTTCTATTCCGTCTCTCTCTCTGTCACTCTTCTCTTTCCCCCACTCCCTTCCAATCCCTCCACTACCATGAGTTCACTGTCTCAAAAGCAGAAACAGCAGTGTTCCCCTAGGATTACACTCTCTCCCAACCCCGATTCTTCCCTCCTCCATAGCTGCATCCTCCTAAGTGTCTGTGGCCCACCGTGCTGACTTCCCAGAGAGTGCCTCCAGCCCCAGCTATCCATTGAACCCGCTCAGTCACATGCTTGAGCTCACATAACTTCTCACGATCGTCCTGATCTTTGTGTAGCTATTCTAATAGAAACTGCATCTCCCCACTTTTAACTTCCATTGAGACCACAGACAGGTAACTGGGAGAGTCTTGATGGCAAATTCTCTTTCCTTAGTTTTTATTACATTACACACTTTTGGGTTTTGATTGCTCTTCATGGCTGATCCTTCTCAGTCATTTTTGAGGGCTCCCCTTCTGTCCAAAATGGATGTTTCTGTATTATTTATGTTCTCATTAATTCAACAATATCATTGCATTATCTACTTAAATTTATATATATATATATATATATATATAAATATATCTATATATATTTTTCAGCCCCGGTGAATTGCCTGCTGATATCACCATGTACTATCTCATAAGTACTTCAATCAGAGTTCTAGACCATTCTCAAATTATAACCCTTTTCACATTCTCAACTTGCTCCTTTTATGTTCTTTAAGCTAGAGACCCACTATATATTCCATTGCCCAAGCAATATTCTAGAAATTCCCCCTTTTCCCCTCACTCCCAGCACTTAACTCAATAAATGAATCGTGAAAATTCTCCTTCCAAACATCTATTCTGCTACTCTACTTTGCACCTTCATGGCCACAACCATCATTACTATATTGGCTTTCTCAGTGTTCTTTCTACCCAGCTCCAATCTCTTCTCTGTGGGTTTTCCATAAGATCAAGTTGATTAAAGTGTTTTCTTATTGGAAAATGTTGCAATGGCTTTTTAAAGTGTGTTTGAGATAAAAATCTAAACACTTCAACCATCTTAGCTGTCCCTAACCGATGCCTTTAGCCTCAACTCAAGCTGCTACTGACTCCCAACTCTGACTTAGCTCTGTGGGCTGTGCTACATTCCCTCTGACCTCTCTTCCCAGTGTCGGAGAGAATCAGTCATTTCCTGCATCAGTATCACCTTCAGGGTTTGTAAAACAGATTGCTGACTGCACCCCAATCATTTCTGTTTTGGTACATTTGGTGGGACTCCAAGCAAGTTTTCTGACTTATCCAGAATCAATAATTTCAGCTTCTAGGAGCAGCTCCATTTTTCACATGAAGGATTATTCTTTCTAGTCATTCCTCCAAATGTTGCTAACATGATTCCTCCCATAGTTTCCTACAGTTTTCCTATAATAACACTTCACATATTATATATTAAATAATGATTGCTAAATAAATTGCACATCTCCAATATTCTAGCTTTCTTGTTCATTGCTGTATAACATCAATTTTAAGACAGATTAGCTATTAAATATATTGGCTATAATATTACAGATAATTCTCAACTTTTCAAGTTTCTTTTTTGTAAGACAGTATAAATACAAGTGTAAAACTTTCTGGTTTCATAATATTTCAACTTCTGAATCCTAATTATCAGCAAATTTAAGCCTAGATATCTGCAGCTTCTTAGCCCTCCCCAGACAGAAAAACCACCAAATTAAGGATGGCAAAATTTAAAAAAAAATAAATTCTTTCAGTGTTTAGAAGAATAAAGCTGACAGATTTTTCTCTAATGCCATCATATGTGTCAAATAAATATGCCATTACTTTTCACTCAAAAAAAGTTGTTACATTCTAAAACCATCCTCTTTAATGATATAACAAACTGGCTTTTTGAACTTCAGTTTCCTCATCTGTATAATGATACAACTGAACTAACTGCAGCTGCAGGCTGAATCTCATCCATTTGCAAAAATATAATGTGATGTTTTTGGGATAAAACCAAATCTAAACAGCAAACCCACTTATCTCTCACAAAAAACTAACACACCTAGCTGAAGGTAATCTTTTACTATGTTTCTGGAACTTTTGTGCATGAAACAAAATTTTATCATGT